TCCGCTGAGGTGTCGCGAACAAGCGCAAGGCAGCCCCAGACTTGAAAGGCCGACCCAACACCAGGGGAACCAGTCCAAAGACTGGTCGGTGAAGCCTCGGGCCGCGAGACACGCGGCTGGAGGTTCAGCTGGTGTGCGGCGTAGCGAACCGCGTGGGGCCACAGAAAATGGGGCGCACGGGCATGGATCATGGACGTGCGGGCGATGTCCATGACCAGCCCTATGCGGCGCTCAGCAACCCCGTTCTGCTGTGGGGACTCTGGCAGCGTCCAGGACTGTGTGATGCCCTGTTCGCCGCAGAATCCGCCGAGAATGCCGGAGCGAAACTCGCCCCCACGGTCGGAGTGGAGACTACTGACACGACGACCACGAGTGCCCTCAGTGGCTAGAAGCCACCTGATCAGCGTAGCAGTCACCTCGGACTTCTTCGCAAGAGGGAACACTGTGGTGTACCTGGAGAAGTCGTCGACGACCACCAGAAAGTAACGCTCCCTCCCAGACCCCTGCGTCGGGGCAGGGCCCCAGACGTCCAAGTGGAGAGTCTCAAAGGGAGCGGTGGCCGGACGAAGGGAGGAGGAGTGGGGAGTGGCGCGTAAGCGACCGGCGACGCACGGAGAGCAAGGAGGGGCAAGCGAGAGAGGGAGCGACGGGAAGGTGTGTGGGAAACCTGTGACAAGTCCCTGACTGAGCATGCCACGAAGGCGAGGGATCGACGGGTGGCCAAGGCGGTGGTGCCACAGGACGGTGCGGTGGGCTAGAGAGCGACAGGAGCAAGACGCAGCGACTGGACTGGACACAGCGACCGGACCGGACACGACTACCTGGCTAGACACCGCAACTGGACTGGGGACCTGGGCCGGAGGGGACGCAACGACCTGAGGGGAGGACGCGACCGGGGAGCGCTCGGTGTGGAGAACGTAGAGACCGGAGCGGGGCTCCCTGGTGAACGTGGCCAGAACAGCACGTGTGGTAGCGTCTGTACAGACTGCAGTCCGCCCACCCCCCACAAAGGTAACCGTGATCCCCCTGTCCTGGAGGTATCCAACACCCACCAAGTTCCGAGTGAACGAGGGGATGTGGAGGCCGCGCAGGACACCAGAGGGGACCACAGGGCACGGGAGGGTGGTGGAGCTACGCGCAACGGCTGGTCCAGAGGTAGGATCAGCCAGAGCCACTGACACAGGAGTGAGGAGTGGCGTAAGGGTCGTGTGGTCGCGGAAGAAGCACTGAGACGCGCCCGAGTCCAGTGTGAACGACAGAGAGGCCTCAGCCGGAGGGTCACCTGACCCAGTCGCTACACAAGCACCTAGAGCAGCAACACAAGCACCTAAGCTAGGCAGGCACAAGGCTACACTAGCAGGAGGCAAGCAGGCTAAACTACGAACACGCGAGCACACAGATCCCTCAGCACTAAAGTCAGCATCAACACACAAAGCATGCTGACGCGCATCGTCCATGGACAAATCAAAGACATCAATCTTACGGGTTAACAGACGAGACCAGCGAGGCGTGACCGCCAGGGGGCCCCAACGAGCCCGGTAGAGGTCGTCGAGGCGGCGGAAGCACCGCGCGGCAGAGTGGTCGTCGCGACCACAGAGACAGGGGCTGCCCGGCCCGGTGAGGCACCAGTGGGTGCAGGGGCCAGCGTCACGGCGAGGGGGGCGAGGGGCCCAGCTGGAAGAGCTGCTGCTGCGGCCGGTGCTCCCAGGGCCTCCCGGACCCCACTGCGGCGGGGGACCCCAGTGCTGCTGCGGACCCCACTGCAGCGGGGGCCCCCACTGCTGGAACTGCTGCGGTGCCTGCTGCTGCTGCTGTCCCTGCTGCTGCTGCTGTCCCTGCTGTGGCTGGTGCTGCTGTGGCTGCTGCTGCTGGGGGGCATCACCCCCACCGGTCGGGCCACCACCTGTGGGTGGACCTGTCTGTCCTGCGCCTCCTCCAAGGCCCCCTCCCCCTGGTGCACCACCGCCGCCGCCGCCGCCGCCGCCGCCTCCACCACCACCGCCGCTCCCACCTCCACCGCCCCCTCCACCGCCACCTCCTCCGCCCCCACCTCCGCCCTTCCCGCCCTTCTTGCCACTCTTGCCCCGTTTCTGCCAGTCTGCGGCAGAAACGGCAGCGGTGTCCTCAGAGACCGACACAGCAGCAGAAGCGCGGGTAGCGGTGAAAGTGGGAAGCTGAGGGGCGGCACACCCCGCAAAGAGACGGGGGGCCACCGCATCAGTGGCGGAGGCAACGGTGAGGAGGCTGCTCTCGATGGTCCCGAGAGCAGTCTGAAGGAGGTCTATAGTGAGTTCAGTGGGGTGCTGCTGAAGAAGCGCGTCGCGGGCAGTGGCAAGGCGGTCAGGGAGGCGGGTGACTAACCAGTGCACAGTGAGCCATATGGGGGGGGGAGCAACAAGGAGCTGTGCGTCGGTACAAGCCGAACGAAAACCGGCGTCAAGCGAGCGGAGGTGAGTCACTAGGTCGGAAACAGTCGCAAACGAGCCTAGGTCGGGAAACACGAACGGCATGAGGAGGCGACTGAGGGAGGCGGAGGAGGGGGTGGAATAGCGAGCCACAATAGCATCCCAAACCCCCTTGGCTGTCTCCACCTGGTCAAAGTGAGCGGCCTCAGTCGGGGGGGAGAAGCTCCGATAGCGTGAGGGCGGCGGCCGCGTCACGAGAGAGCCACACGTCCCGAGCCAGGACCCGACGGTCGTAGTCCGCCTGGGCCGTAGGAGTCGGCTCCGGGGCGGTCGGCAGGGCGGCGGGGGACGGGGGTGCCGCGAGAGCACCCGACGCGTGGGCCCACAGAGTGGCGCCGTCCTGACGCTGGCTGGTGAGGAAACGTGTGGTCTGGCGCTGCCAGGTACCGAACTCAATCGGGCGTCCCTCAGCATCGAAACGGAGGCGACGGGCCTCCATAGCGGAGCCCATGCTAGAGGCGACTGGAGCACGGCGGAGGCGGAGCTAAGAACGAGGAGGAAAACTACGGAGGGCTAGGGACGCCAGCGGGGAAACCGACGAGAGACAGTCGGCGAGAAAATAGTCGTAGGGCGGGGCTCTAACCGAACCTAGGTGGCGCTACCGGAGGGAAGAGCGGCTGCCAGCCGCTGAGCCAGGAGCCAAGTGCAGTATGAATGGCGTGGGACCGGTGCACAGGTGAAGGGAAGAGAGATGCAGTAAGCGCACAGAGTGATGCGGTAAGTGTACGAAAGTGTGCGGTAAGCGCACGCAGGTGTGCGGTAAGTGTACGCAGGTTTGCGGTAAGCGCACGCAGGTGTGCGGTGAGTGCACGCAGGTGTGTGGTAAGTGCACGCAGGTGTGCGGGAAGCGCACGCAGGTGTGCGGGAAGCGCACACAGAGTGATGCGGTAAGTGCACGCAAGTGTGCGGTAAGCGCACGCAGGTGTGTGGTAAGTGCACGCAGGTGTGCGGTAAGCGCACGCTGGTGTGCAGGAAGCGTTGACGGAGGAGGGCGCGCGACAGGCGGAGGGGAGGGCACGCGACGGTCTAAGGAGGGCGCGCGACGGTTGAGGAGGGCGCGCGACGGTTGAGGAGGGCGCGCGACGGTTGAGGAGGGCGCGCGGCGGTCTAAGGAGGGCGCACGACGGTTTTGGAGGGCGCGCGGAGGTCTAAGGAGGGCGCGCGACAGGCTGGACAGTGCGGGAGGGCGCGGGCTAGGCGCGAGGAGGGCGCGGAGGGCGCGGAGGGCGCGAGAGCACGGAGGGCGCGTAGGGCGCGGAGGCTAGCTAAAAACGAACGAGGATCTAACCTACTCGTGATACCATCTCAGAATAGGAATGCAACGGAATGACCGAAACTAGAAAGTGTGAGAGTACAAATATGCAACCCTAACAACTGTACTCCCTATTGTGCTACTCACTGTAGCCTACAAGCATAGAATTACATTTGACACTAGGCTAGCCCCTACATTAGTCTGTGCCTTCATTGTATTCTCAGATCAGTTAATCACAGTCTCGTTATTCGTTTACCTGCGCACTCCCTTTTACAACTCATAACACACGTCGCATGAAGCGATTTAGGGTAACGTGCGTGACGAGGTTTCAAGTATACCGCGCCCTTCACATTTTCACCAGAAGTAGAAGTGCTAAAAATGAACAGATTTTATTCAGCCATTTTATCATTTCCAGATTGTGGATGCGCATGAATTCCTAGCTAAGATTAAACTCTTTCGAGAGCTATCCTTTTTTTTTTTTTTTTTTTTTTTTTTTTTTGTCTCTAATGGATTGGATTTACAAGCAACCCGCCGTGACTCGTAGCAGAGCTCGTCTTCCACTTGCACGCACACAAAACGCATGGATTTGCGTGTTGGTGTGGTGTCTGCGTTGGTGGCGGTGGTGACCCAAACTTGAAATCCTGGGGTCTGACAAGGGAGTCGGGACTCGGGGGACTCGGTAACAACATGGGGGGAAAACTAATGGGAGTTGCTGCGGGAATGGCAAGCGGGGAAGTAGCAGGTGTGGTGAGGCGGGTCGCGGGGCCAGCCGGGTTGGGGGAAGTGGTTGCTTCGCTGCAGGTGAGAATCAGCGACATCCGCCTGTCAATAGGCGAAATCGATGAAACTACCGAGGTTCTCTTCGCGTAAGGCGATTTTGAGTAATATGTACGATGAGGTTTCCAGAAAATCTGCGTGATATGCATCTTCGTTACAAATAACGAAATCACTACAGCAGCCTTCTGGAAATGTGTGTGAACAATACATTGTCAGCAAATAATGAGTAGAAAGTCACGCTTTCTACAGGCTTATTACAGAGTCAAGCATGCAACTGGCATTGCTCTTTAATCTGCACGACAAAGACCAGCAATGCGGCCAGTTATTTGTGACTCAGCGGCTCTTTGCGTACTGCCGTTCACAGAAAATGCATGAACTCATGTAAGAATAGCAGTTTGGGAAGCTAAAGGGTTGAGAGTTGGGAGAGGTAAGTAGAAGGGGCAAGTAAGTTGTAAATTTCAAATTGTGACCCAATAGAGAATCATGACGAGCCAGTCCGCAGTCAGTTACGCTGCTACACTTTTCACTTCCTCATCTACAGCAGCAAAGATGGAAGAGAGACACCGAGAGTCAATGTGAATTTCCACCAGCCATGCCACCAGACACACCTGCCGGGGGGAAGCCACGCACAGAGGAAACCAAACACAGAGGTATCGTGTGCAAATTTATTGTCAAGTGCAAACTAGATAGCGCGAAACAGTCAATGTGCATCTCCACCAGCCACGCCACCACACACACCTGCCACAGAGCAGGCAAGCAAGCACAGACAAAAACGTGACGTGCAAAATAATAACAGAACCACCCACTGACTGGTTGGGTCAAACACAATGCAAAGGTACGTGCTCTTCTGCAGTTGTGTGAGGGTTGTGCGTATTCAGAGGAAACAAAATCGCCCAAGAGCTCACAAGGCACCTCACCTGTAGCTGTTGTGGTGTCGGCGAGTGGAAAAGTAGCCCCGACTGTTTGAGTCACTTTTGAGAAGTTTAAAAAAATCCCCCAAGAGCACACAAGGCAGCTCACCTGTAGCTGTTGAGGTGTGGGCGAGCGGGCAAGCAGCCCTGACTGCTCCAACTGCTGCTGCACCACCGCCCACTCACAACCCTCTGCTGCACTAAGCCCGTGTGACAGTCCACGTCCCTCTGCCCATGCCTGTCCCTTCAATCCATTCTGCCCCTCCAGCATGCCACTCCCTCCTTGACCACGCCCCTCATTCCCTCCTGCCCCGCGCTCTCCACCAATCCCTGTCTCCATATCCCCCCCACCAGTCCCAATTCCCTCTCCCTGCAAACAACCCGGTGCTTCTCCCTCCGCTGCTGCCTCGCTCGCAGCCTCTTCTTCTGTTGCCGCTGGTGTCTCACGGCCGTCCTCGTCTCGTGATGTGGCTGCCCTGCCTGCTCCTGTTGTTCCTGCTGCTCCTGCTGCTTCCAACCTGCCTCCACCTGTTTCCACCGTTTCGCCTGGGCTCGCTCCTTCCTCCACAGCAAGAGCACTTGCATCAAGAGTGGCATCAGCTTTGGGAGCAGGCACAGTGGCAGGTGGCGAGGCGGCGCATGGCAGGCACAGTGGAGGGATGTTGAGAGGGTGTTTAAGCGGGATTTGGGAGGTTAGAGAGGTATTTGGAGTGGTGGTGGTGGTGCGTGCAGTGGTGGTGGTGGCGGCTTCATGTCTGACTGCTGAGTTGAGTGAAGAGAGTATGAGACGCTGGTGGGGAGGAGAGGGATGCATGAGGAAGAGGGGAAGGAGGAACTGTGAGATGATAGTGATGCTATCGTGATACAGATTAGAACGACACCCGAGTTGAGAGTGAAGAGCACAACAGAAAACATTGCGTGCAGAGTGGGAAACAAGGATTTGTTTTGCACAGATGCGAAGGTGGTTGCAACATGCTTAAGTATATCTGTGCGTCCGGCCGTCACCAGAGGTTGCTTAGCTAAGCGTTTTCATCCATCTCACCTTGACCAGCAGCTCTCTGCGCCACGTGTGAGGAGGGAGATTTGTGCGGAGGGAGATGTGCGAGGAGGGAGGTGTGTGAGGAGAGATTGAGAGAAGATATGAATATGCTTAATGACAAACGAGGCCTGCATCAAGGAGAGAGCATAAAGCTGACAGGGTGCAAGGGGAGGTGAGATGAGCAAGGGGAGGTAAGAACATGAATAGGGGACAAGCCGATGAGGAACTGCTGCGAAAGGCAACGAACCGAAAACTGAGAGACGGAGAGCGGTGAAGATGGGTTCGTCAGGGTACATGTCTCTCTCTTGCCATGCCTCCTGCCACACCTCATGTGCATCCCACACTCCAGCTGAGGGGGAGGGTGACACTGAAGCTGCTGATGCTCGAAATGGCGATGGTGCTGCTGCTGCTGCTGGTGCTGGTGCTGACACTGCTGACAATGGCACAGGCGCTGCCAGTGAGGTGGCAAAAGTGAAGGGCGCAACTGTGGATTCAGGTGCTGCTGGGGGGAGGGCCGTTGTGTCAGGTGCATGCAGGGGAGGTGGTATGTGGGGGGGCGGGCAGATGGGTAGCAGGGCAGGGACGAGGGCGTCGACTGCTGCAGCCTGAAGGAAGGATGAGGGCGAGGGGGAAGGGGAGGAAGAGAGGGAAGAAGTGGAGAGACTAAGGGCCTGGTTGCGGGAAAGTGTAGCCAGCAGGGGCAGAGCAGATGACGTCAAGGCGTGCAGTGAATGGGGAAGCAGAGAGAATGGGGATGGTAGGAAAGGAGTGAGTGAGGGGGGGGGCCATGGGGAGATTGTGGCAAATGGGGAGCGAAAGGTAACTGCAAGTTCTCGAGCTCTCGTCTATCCCTCCCTCCTCCCCTTCCCCCCTCCCCGTCAACTCACGAGGTCATTCAAGCAGCGGCGCAGCGTGCATAGATCCTCCTCCTGATGGGCCATGGCGGCAATGCATCGCGTGGCGCAGTGGAAAGGAGAATGAGAAGGGCGATGTGTGAGAGAGGAAAGATGGAGGGGCAAGAGGAGAAGACAGAGGAGACGGGAGGGGTGGAGAAGAAAGGGAGCAAGTGAGGGATGACAGAGAGCGAGAATGGGAAGGGAAGGCGTGGGGAAGAAAACCGCTGGTTGAATTCTAGCACTACGATAAACAGTAAAGGAATTCACACTACAACGAGCCACACTAAAACGAGCCACACTAAAACGAGTCACAATAAAACGAGTCCCTGTAGCATGAGCACCATAATGCGTCGGATCTTCTCTGCTGCCCTCTCAACGATGCCCTCCATGCCCCCCACCGCCCCGAGGTCCTTGCCAGGTAGCTGCCTGCGCGAGGAGTGGAGAGGATTGGAGAGGAGTGGAGGGGAGTGGAGAGGAGTAAATCTCAAGGCATGCTTTCATCGCAGCCCTGCCCACGAAGCCCTCCATGCCCCCCAACGCCCCCATGTCCTTGCTGGGTAGCTGGCCGCGCAGTCAGAGAGGAGTGAAGAGGAGTGGAGAGGAGTGGGGAGAAGTGGGGAGGAGTGGAGGGAAAGTGGAGGGAAAGTGGAGCGGATCCCGGGTATGTTCAGCACCTATTTACATCAGCGCCATAACCTGTGCTACATAATTCATCGCTCATCGTCTGTACTCGATATGGTTATATTCGCTAAAATACTCTTCACCGCGACGCCTGGACTCACTTCAGCTGCACCAATCGGTTCACGACAGCTGTCGCCGCGCGCAGCCCGTCCGCCGAGGCGGCGTCCCACTGCTTCCGCGCGCCAGACGCGGCGGAGAACGCGGAGCGCACGCGGCGCTGCTGGCGGCGCCGCCAGAGATGGAAGGGGAGCGGCGGAGGGGGTTGAGCGGAAGGGGGAGGCGCGGAAGGGGGGAGTGCGGGTTTAGCGGGCAGCGGCGGAGTCCATGGTTCCGCGCGCACAGGAGGGGCGGAGGCCATAGTGAAGGCGGGAAGGACTATTGCGTCGCTTGAAAACGCCGAGTCCACGCGGAAGGCGGAAGGCGGAAGGACAGCCGCAACGAATGGTCGCTGCGAAAAAGTGCCAGGAAGTAAGCAGGCACTTGTCACCCGTGGTTGTACAAAAGGGTGCTAGCTGGTTCGCTACGGCGCAGAGTGGTGATGAGTATGGCAAGAATAGATTGCTGTGTTACCGAGTTTAGGCCGCCGCAAGCCGATCATATTCTAGTACGGTTCGGTACGGTTACAGGCGTTCCAGAATGCTAAGTGGTGTGTTTCCAAGGAGGGAGGTAATTGCAGAAAATTATTTTCCCTCGAAACACACAGAATCCAAACCATTTTTAAAACCCCGAGCCGCCGTGCTCAGTTGCCTGCAGTTCACCGACACTCCCGTCCTCCTGTCACCACCGTCCGATCTCCCACCCACGTGTATGCTTGGTAGGCAATGCGCTCAGGGCGGCTTGTCAATTAGCATACGAAGCAGCGAGGGCGTCTTGTCACTTGGGAGACGCCTATTTCGACTGTCGCGAGCATTGCGAGCATCGCGAGCATCTCTCCCCGCGATGGCCGACGAGGGCTTCGACGCGCGGAAGGCGGCGGTGCTGGCGGCGCTGGCGTCGGCGGAGCGCGACAAGTCGCTCAAGGGCGGCCTGGATGCGCCGATCGCGGATCTGGTGGCGGAAATCAACGGCCACGATGATCTCTTCACCACCAGCTCGTGCTCCGGCCGCATCTCGCTGCTCCTCGAACCGCATGACACCGCCGCCGCCGCCGCCTCCGCCACCGCCACTGCCGCAGCCACTCCTGCTGCTTCTGGTGGTGCTGGCGCTGGCACCGCCGGTGCTACTACTGCTGAAATAGAAAGAGGAGGGGAAGGAGTTGCGGCGGATAGCGCGGGCGCGGTGAAGCGAGTGAAGAAGAAAGCGAGGGTGGGTCGCATGGGGGCGAGTATTAGGCTCGCCGCCGCACATGCAGTTCCTAAAAATCTCTCGAAAAAAAATCACAAATCTCTGGCATCAGCAGCGGGAGATGCAGCGCGTGCAAGCACTGCATGCATCCTCTCCCTAACAATACAGCCCTCCACACTTCCTCTAATACCATCGTAATTCCCCCTTCACTTACCCCTACCCGCGCCACGAGCAGGGCGGCGAGTGGCTGTTGGTCAGCCATGACCCCATCGATCCTGCCGACCTCGTTACTGCCGTCTTCAGTACAAGCACTGCGCACGCGGATGCCGACGTCAGCAACAGCAACAGCGCCAGCAGCAGCATTATCACCCCCGTCACCTGCGCATCTCCGCCCGCTCTTCCCGGCGAGCTGGTGTTCCGCTTCGAGCCGCTCATCCTCGCCCTCGAGTGCCGCTCCCTCGCCGCCGCGCAGGCGCTCGTGTCCTGCGCCATCCGTGCAGGCTTTCGGGAGTCAGGTGAGGGCTTTCAGAGTGAGGGGTTCGAGTTTTAGGGTTTTCGAAGTGTGGGGGTTTAGGGGCTCTGGTGATTCTCTCCTGACCCTCGCTTCGAGCCGCTCATCATCGGCGTCCCTTCTGCACAAGCCCAAACGTGTCTTTTGAGTCGACTCAAAAGTCAACTCACAAGCCCAAACGTGTCTTTTGAGTCGACTCAAAAGTCAACTCACAAGCCCAAACGTGTCTTTTGAGTCGACTCAAAAGTCAACTCACAAGCCCAAACGTGTCTTTTGAGTCGACTCAAAAGTCAACTCACAAGCCCAAACGTGTCTTTTGAGTCGACTCAAAAGTCAACTCACAAGCCCAAACGTGTCTTTTGAGTCGACTCAAAAGTCAACTCACAAGCCCAAACGTGTCTTTTGAGTCGACTCAAAAGTCAACTCACAAGCCCAAACGTGTCTTTTGAGTCGACTCAAAAGTCAACTCACAAGCCCAAACATGTCTTTTGAGTCGACTCAAAAGTCAACTCACAAGCCCAAACGTGTCTTTTGAGTCGACTCAAAAGTCAACTCACAAGCCCAAACGTGTCTTTTGAGTCGACTCAAAAGTCAACTCACAAGCCCAAACGTGTCTTTTGAGTCGACTCAAAAGTCAACTCACAAGCCCAAACGTGTCTTTTGAGTCGACTCAAAAGTCCACTCACAAGCCCAAACATGTCTTTTGAGTCGACTCAAAAGTCAACTCACAAGCCCAAACGTGTCTTTTGAGTCGACTCAAAAGTCAACTCACAAGCCCAAACGTGTCTTTTGAGTCGACTCAAAAGTCAACTCACAAGCCCAAACGTGTCTTTTGAGTCGACTCAAAAGTCAACTCACAAGCCCAAACGTGTCCTGCACCATTCGCGCGACCCTCCCAATCCCCCCCAATCCCCCATTCCTCCCACCCCCCCCCTTTCCCCTTCTCTCCCCCCACACCAGTGTGAGCGCAAAGCGAATCATCGTGGCCGTCCGTTGCTCCATCCGCCTCGAGGCGCCGCTGACAGCTGGCGGCGTGCCGTTGGTGGGTGAGGCGTATGTGCGCCAGCTGGCGGCGGTGGCCAACGGCAAGATGGCGCTCAACCACGAGCGCACCGAGCGGTTCCGAGCGCGGTTCAAGGAGGAGGTGAGGGGGTGGGGACCGGTGGGGGTGGGTGACGGTGAGTGGGAGTTGGTGGGAGTGGGTGGGAGTGGGTCGGCCCAGCTGGGTGGGGTGATGGTGCTTTAGGTGGTGGTGGCCAATGGCAAGATAGCTCTCAACCAACCGTGAACGCACCGAGCTGTTCCGAGCTGGAGGGGTTCAAGGAGGAGGTGAGGGGTGAGGGGGGACAGGGTGGGTAGGTAGGTAGGGGCGAGTGGGATCAGGTGGGGGCGAGCTGACGGGCAAGGGGACAGCCAATCCTCCCCACCCTTCTTTTCTTGTTTTCCACTTCCTTACCCCGCTTACCCTCGCTTTCCCACTTCTCACTTTCCTTTACCTTTTCCTTCCCACCGCTTTCCTGCCTTCTTCCCTCCCTTGCTGCAGTGCAGCTGCTCCCTCCTCTCCCATCCTCCACCCCAACCATCCCAACCGCATCCCACACCACTCAACCCAACACACAGCCCACACGCAACGCCCAAGTCTCATCCTAGGAAAGCAGCACGGCGCAGCTCAAAAGGCCAGCAAGAGGCAGCGAACGGCCAGCTGGCGCAGCAGCAGGGCAGCCAGGTGGCACAACGCCAGGTGGCACAACGCCAGGTGGCAGTGCTGCAGAGAGTAGGGGAGGTGGAGAGGCGGGTGCTGGAGCTGCTACGAGGTGGTGTAGTTGGGGAGGCACCGCTTTGCACCGCACTGACAGCACCTGAACCTGCTTCCACAGGGGCCTCTGGACATCCCGAACTGGCAGGTGCAGGTGCAGGTGCAGGTGCAGGTGCAGGTGCAGGCGCAGGGATGGCGCCATATCCATTGCAGGACGTGGCAGGTGGTTGCTGCAGCAGCGCATGGGACATGCCCAGAAGATCACAAGCATCAGAAGAATTAGCTCATGGAAGCAAGGCACAGGACGGGCAGCTGCACGGGCAGGTGGTAAAGGTTCTGGGGCTGCCCGAGGGCAGTCTTTTGCGGTGGGGCCACTCGGCTGTGACGGTTGCTGCTTCACGGGCGATGGTGGGAGCTGTAGGCGCAGGGGGGAGAGCGGAAAAGGAGAATGCAGGAGCAGGCACAACAAATGCAGGGTCAACAGGTGGAGGGACGACAGAAGCAGAGAAAGCAAGACGAGAGGCAGCAGGGACAGCAGTGGTGGTGTTTGGGGGGTTCGGGGGGAGTGGGGTGCACAGCAGGCGAAATGACGTGGTAGTGGTAACAATGAGAGAAAGAGGGGAGGAAGGAGGGCGTGGAAGTGAAGGGGAGAAGGAGGATGATGTGGTGGTGGAAGGGAGTGTGGTGGAGACGAGAGAGAGCGGGCCGAGTGCGCGCATGTGGCACTCTGCCACTGTGGTTAGTGTGGGGCGAGGGAGGGGAGTGGTGAGCGGGAGTGGAGCGGAGGCCAAGGGAGCAGAGAGTAGTGAGGCGAGTGAGAGAGGAGAGAAAGAGGAGGAGGAGGGCGAAGAGGAGGAGGGTGAGGAGGGGGAAGAGGGGGAGGAGGAGATGGTGGTGATAGGAGGCAGGCACGGCCCCAATGCTGCCCTTGCTGATGTGTTCTCCCTCAATCTGCGCTCCATGATGTGGCGCCACGTGGCAGCACCAGAAGCACCGTCTGGAGAGGCTACAGCAGCAACTGCAACTGCGACTACTACCCCTGCTTTACCAGAAGCAACTGCTGCTATAGCTGGTACAGATGCTACAGCTGCTACAGCTGCTACAGCTGCTACAGCTGCTACAGCTGCTACAGCTGCTACAGCTGCTACAGCTGCTACAGCTGCTACAGCTGCTACAGGTGCTACAGGTGCTACAGCTGCTACAGGTGCTACAGGTGCTACAGCTGCTACAGGTGCTACAGCTGCTACAGGTGCTACAGCTGCTACAGGTGCTACAGGTGCTACAGGTGCAACAGGTGCACCCGTGGCAAGGTATCGCCATGCAGCAGCAGCCCTGGGGTCATCCGTCTTTGTCTTTGGAGGCACATCCCACCCTCACGCCCCGCCGCTCACCTCCCTTCAGGTCTTTTCTGCCCGGTCTTTTTCCTGGCTGCCCGACCCGGTGGCTTCCGGGCAGATGCCTGCCCCTCGCCACTCCCATGCCATGGCTACGGTTGGTAACCGGGTGTATCTTTTTGGAGGGCGAGACTCCCAGAGGGTATTTTCTGACCTCTTCTTTTTTGAGGTTGTGAGCAGCGATCCGGCTGTTGGGGAATGCGAGGCGCCTCGAAACCCGCAAATGGAACTCGCAGCAAGCAGCAGCAACAGTAGTGGTATGAATGTCAACAGACTGCATGTTCGGTGGACCAAGGTCTGGGATTCTGCCACAGTCGCAATCCCTGAACGGTTCTCACACTCCCTCACCACATACGGGCAGCACCTTCTGATTTTTGGGGGCTGCCCACATTCCCGGGCAGGCCCGGAAATTGTTCTAGTGAACACCGCATCCAATGAGGTGTCTCGAATCCCCGTCGCTCTGCCTCCTGCTGCTCTGCCCGTGCGCCACACTGCCAGTGTGGTGAAGGGGGGCTCTTTGGCAGGAGGGGGTGCAATTGGAGGCTCTACTGTAGGGGACAGGCTGCTAGTGCTGGGGGGTGGTGCTGCCTGCTTTGCATTCGGATCGGTCTTTAGCCCTCCTTTTTCGATCCCTCTAAAAGGGATTCTTCAAGGAAAGATTGGATATGCTAGCCACCAGCGGCAGGGGCAGCAGCAGCAGCAGCAACAGGAGCAGCAGCAGGAACGACAGCAGCAACTGGCGCAGGATGGGGATCTCGTTCGGCAGTCACAGGGAGGATTGGGGTGGGTGTTGCTGGTTCCACGGAGGGAGGGGAAGCGGTGGAAGGATGCGCTACAGGCACGTGGCGCTCTAGACAAAACCCGCAAGCCAGCCACAGTGAACCCAGATGTCGATCCTGAGGTACCACATGTCAGTGCTAGTAGCTCAGGTGCTGCTGCTGGTGACGGTGGTGAGTTGCTGCTGGCCTTGCCTGTGTGCGAGTCTGCTGTAAGCATCGTTGCTGCCATGGATGGTGTGTGCATGGCACCCCCAAGGATGCCAGGGACAGCAGCACCAGTGCTGACAGCTGTAAATGGACCACCACAAGAGCAGCAGCCAACAGCAGTTGAGGCTGTAGCAGCCGACACAAGGGGGATGACAGCGACAGCACCTAATAAAGCAGCTTCACAGTCAGCACCAGCAGTGCTCACACAGATGAGCCTATCCCCTTCCCCTGCTCGCCCTCTCACTCCCTTTCAACGCCTCCACCACGCCATCCAGGCTCTCCTGCACCTCAAGTCAAAGCAACTCAACTCTTCAGAGGACAATCAACCCACTGCCACTCACTTATCCCTTCTCTCTCACCTGCCGGCCCGCTGGGAGCGGCTTGGAGACATGGTGGTTTTGCCAGCTGATGCCATGCTAGGGGAGGCTTGGGACAGGCTCGGACCTGAGCTCTGGCAGGTTGTTGCTGAGGCTCTTGGGGCGACAAGAGTGGCCCGGCAGGTGAGAACACATCTCCCATAGCTGAAGTTTTGGGTAAAGGCTGGGAGGGGAGAGCGTTGAGCAATAGTCACTGCTCTTGTGTAAATCAGCTTCTGTCTCTCTTTCTCGTTCTCTTTCTCTGCTGCCCCTTTCTGTCTTCCATTGAGTCGACTCGACACAGGCTCCTGTGGCACCCACATTGACTAGAGACAGCCGCCTGCAGCTGCTGCTGGGGTCCTCTTCCTGGGTGGAGCACCGGGAGAATGGCATCACATACACCTTCGATGCTGGAAAATGCATGTTCTCATCAGGGAACGGCACTGAGAAGCAGCGCATGGCTGCACTCAGGCTTCATGACCGGGAAGTGGTGGTAGATCTGTGTGCTGGGATCGGGTATTTCACAATCCCGCTGCTCGTGCATGCCCGCGCCCGCCACGTGTTTGCCTGTGAGTGGAACCCTGCGGCTGTCCATGGCCTCCGGTCCAGTCTCGCAGCCAATCAGGTTCCGCCAGATCGCTACACTGTGCTGGAAGGGGATAACAGGGCTGTTGCCCCAGTGGGGGTTGCTGATCGGGTGCTGCTGGGCTTGATTCCTTCGAGTGAGGCCAGCTGGAGGACTGTGATTCGCTGCCTGAAGCCAAGGGAAGGGGGTGTTGCGCATGTGCATGGGAATGCAGTTGATGTGGAGGAGCAGCAGTGGACTGACTATGTTGTGGGGGAGTTCGAAAAGCTGGCAAGAGAGGAGGGGAGAAGCTGGGAAGTGAAGGCAATGCACTTGGAGCGGGTGAAATGGTATGCGCCACACATTCGGCATGTTGTTCTGGATGTTTGCTGCAAGCCCAGCTTGGTTGATGGTGCTGAATAGCAAATTCAATGCTCTCAATAATTTGTGGCGGTGCACCAATCCTCTGAGCTATTGCTCAGTCAAGACTATTGTGGCTCTGGTAATATTATTATTATGCATTGGAACTGTACAGTAGAGTTGTTGATGACGTCCTCTATTGGTGTTGCATTCACAATGCATCACACCTGCAATGAAATCTACCCATCAAGATCACACAAGAGTACCATCCAGGTAGCTTGCTTTGAGCTTCAGCAGATAATCTTTGAGCTCTGAGTCACTGAGATTGGACTGCTGCAAGCATAAAAGACGTTGCGCCACAACGTAATCCCGGCGGAGTGCAGTAAACTTGCTGTAGCCTATCTCCAATCGCCTTGATTCCTGGCGAACCAACCACGAGATAATACAGATATGGAAGCATTGGAGAGTCACAAAAGGGACAGCCTAGTTTGTACCGTACCTGCTTTTCCAAGATGTCAGCAATCCGCTGAGCTTCAGACATGACTGCTGCTGGGAAACCCATCGCTTCAGCAAGCCGCAACCCATAGTGAGGCACGTCAGTGTATCCCTCCTTCAGCACGTACTGCCAGATGATTCAGACATTAGCCTTGAAAGCATGAGAACATTGCATATGCTGGGCTGCAGGCCATACCTTGTAGGCAAGTCTCTCGTTGCTGACTCCAACTGAGAAATAGCACACTTTGCAATTGGGGTAAATGGAGGCCAGCTCACCAAGCTGTTTCATGTGAGTTGCGAATATTATGTACCTGCAAATATGCACGACAACACGTTGGGGGTTACAGAGAACAAAAAAATGGAGCATACAATACGTTGAATTCAGTGCAGAAAAGTCAATTCACATACGAAGGAAACGTGAGAAGGTGCTCACAGCAGCTCCACGCAATCGCAAGACCATCAAGTGTTGATGTTGCACATCCCAACTCATCAACTACCACAAGGCTCCTGAAAAAAACGTATGATGGTTATTCTTGGCGGTTGACTATGCAATAAACAAGATTTACACACAAACCTTGGAGTCAGATGGTCCATCAAGAAAGCAGTTTCACGCATTTCTGTGAGGAACTGCAAGCAAACAAGGACTATAAGTGGGAAGAGCGATCATGCACTCGGTAAAGTTAAGCAGATACACGGATATGTACCGTGCTTGAATTCTCTTCAATGCTTTCTCCAGTGCCAATTCTTGTGAATATGCGATCAACCACTCGAAAGGATGCGAACCGTGCAGGAACGTAGCAGCCAATATGAGCCATGATTGTCAGCAAAGCCACCTGGCGAAGGTAGGTGCTTTTTCCACTCCTGGCATAGGAGAACCAGAGCTCAGCATAGTATTAGTGTACTTGACCAACAATTGAGTTGCAGTATGCATACATGTTAGGGCCAGTGATGATCATTGCGTTTGAGGCCTCTGACATAAACGTGTTGTTTGCCTGCAAGGTAAGATGGAGGGAAATATTAACACGCATGTGATACGAATAACATATTTTAATAGCAAACAAGGCTCACCACAAAGGCATCTTGAAGAAGGCCCTCAGCAATCGGATGTCGACCACCATCAATAGCCAAAGGTCCAAAATCTGAGTTAGAGCAGAAATGCAATAAGTATCGCAGTAAACATAGTAGCAATGAATCACCTTAACGTACCTGTGAACTCAGGGCGGACATAGCTGTCCACTGGGTTTGTTGTCACAATGTATGCAAAGCTATTTGTGATCATATCGAGGAGGAAGATGCTCTCCAGAAGTGAAGAGAACACTGTCAGTTCCTCCCTAATTCGTTGACATAAACCTGCTATCAGAATGCAGTAGCTTCAGCAGATTCATGGGAAACGTTGACCTGCAGCAATGCTAACAAGCTCGATAGTTGTCAAATCAGTTAAAGAAATATGCACACCTTCAAGGCAGCGCTCTTCCCGAAGAAAACACTCAGCTGAAGCTTCCTTATTTCGAATGTTAAGCTGCAAGTATACTTCAAAGCACTTGTTATGAGGCAAGCTTGTAACAAGAGCGTGATCATTGTTACAATAGCGTGATCATTTCTATGAGCCAAGTACACGCAATCAATGCTTACCGACACCAGCTCTTGTGTTGTGCACTGATAATTCTTTCCATTCTTGCTGACCTGCCATGCAAGAGTTATAGACACAGCATATCCTTCACGAATCCCACTAAGTGGAAACGCTATACCTGGAGAAAGACAGGAGGGAGCTTCTTTCCCTTCACATCTTTAACTGGAACTGTGATGTAGAATCCTCGTCTGTTGTTGAATGGAAGTCGAAGATTTGGAAGAGAATACTGTTCACGATATGACTTTCCTAGGGAGTGAATAGCTGGCATGACGTGATTAGAAAATTTGGATTAGCGCAAGTGTATAAATATATCTTGGATCACACTGATGAAAGGAACAGTCTCCTCACCTTCACTAGTGGCACAGAAGGTGCGCCTGGCAACATCCAAGAAGCCATCAAAGCCAGCCTTGATTGCAAAACACTGCTGTGTTCGAGCAATAAACGGGGACCTTGAATGCATGACATCCTCATCAAGAATGCTTTCAATCCTGCATCAGTGCCTCCATGTAAGCCAATCAATCATGGATGATTAGGAAAGTTGAAACTGCACAAGGCGCCTTACTCCTTCAACAAATCTGGAAAGCTTTGCTGCTTGCAAACAATATCCCGTATGCTTGTTAGCAGGCTACACTTAGCACCACTCAAAGCCTTGAGAGTACGGCAATAAAAGATTGCATTAGTTTCAAGCAACGATGACGAATACAAGTCAGACAAAAACAATCATATACCTCAGCAAGTCGGGGTACAAGAAGTAGAGTCTCTCGCAAGAGGATGATGCTTGAAAGAATCACCATGTTTCTCCGAGTGGTTGCACTCCCTGTGCCATCATCGGCAGCCTTGCGTGGACGAAATGCGAAGCTTGTCACAATACGATCTGCACAATTATGATTGTATAAGCCAAGTTTTTTACCAATCTACAAACATCCCCCCTTGCAGCATACCAAGATCTTTTGGGAATTGCTGGAGGATGTTTGACAGTGCTGAGTACAGAGACTCATCGTTTATGATTTCCTCCTGCAAATGTGATCCACTTCAGTTCAGGCGTTTTTTGAAGGAGCCTAAAGAACTTGAGAACTTTCAATGCGTATTACCAAGCAATCCAGTCGTAATTTGATAGTTTCCTTGTCCTTCAATGGCTGGAGAAGATTTGCTTTAAGAAGCCGCGCCCTGCTTGGCACAGAGAGCACATGTGAGGGTTCTTTATGAATTATCTGGACAAGAAGCACAGGCAGCTGGTGCTCACCCGCCCACTGTCTTTGTTGAATTGAGGACACCAAAGAGGCTGGCTTTTCTCTTGCCATCCCTTTCTGAATTTCCTGGCAGTGGTTCTATCACCTCCAGATTCTGTATGCTGCGCACAGGGAAAGTGGTCAGCAGTCGAGATTTCTTAAGATCTGTGTGTGTGCTGACGCATCTACTGTACCTGGTAGCATCTATTGACAAGTGGTTGAGGGAGCCATTGAAAGTGACCTGAAGGGACTTCTGCATAACTGCCGCTGACTTCTCGCTTTCAACCCTGCTAGACAAGGGTTAAGATTAGAAAATGCCTTCATGGATATAGCCTCTCTCCATACTCACCACTTTAGAAGTGCAGATGCAGCACCAAGGCAAAGATAATACTCCTTGTAGTGCCTATCAACGATCGTCCCATTGGCTTTTCCATTGGTGTAAGATTGGACAAGTAACGCACCCTGAACGGGAAGAACAAAAAAGTTTCAGCATAAGCGTTTCCTTTGTGAAGGAATTATGATAAAGGTTCCGCCGCTGACCTTGACGTCGTCGAAACAGCCACGTGCCAGTGTCACCTGTTGGAAAAACCAGTGAATATTGCGAGCCAAAAATACCAGGATCGGCCAATTCGCAAGAATTCCTACCTTACGAGCGGCAGCGAAGGCAGAATGAGAAGCAAGAGCCATGGCTCCGCCAATGCCTTCCGCTAAATCGGCCATTCGTGCTGGAACGATAATCTCAGATGGTTTGAAATACTGTAGCAAGGTGAGCGTGTTCTGGTATGACTTGCTGCTCTCAATATACTGATTCAAGTGCAGAGTTGCGGATCTCAGGTCCAAGGCGGTGAGTCCGACCTACGAGTGCAAGGCACATTTCAGTTTGATCAAAATGCGACGGAGCGAGTGGAATAGCGAACGGCTCATGATACCTCTCGCGCACGATTCTCAATGAGAGCAACGACTACGTGACTGTCATCCATGTCGCTAGCCATGACCACTACAGATTGTTGTGATAGCTTAGAAGAATGTACTTCTAGTTGCCTTGTTGGAAGAATGTGTTCCTAGTTGCCGCGTGTCCAAGCTTTGCACTGACTATGTGGTACAAATTGCTGTTCTGTCCGCGACGCATGCGGAAGTGGGGAGCTCGAGGCAGTTTGATGGGAAGAAGGATGGAGCAGAAGGAGAACCCACGAGAAATAGATGATCGAGATTGTCCAGTGTGCTCCACTATTGTGAGCTCCGACAGATTACCTCGAGATTATCTTTAGCTGATTCCAGTCTGAGCAAGCGTTATCACGGTACGATGCCGCCATGGATTCCTCCGCGTAACTTCGGAAGCCTGTTACGTGAAGGTTACCTATCAGTTGGTAACAATGAGCACAGTTCTACATTCCTGAGTGCATTGCGAAGCAGAAGATATTTTTATCGTGTCCATCCCGCGGACATTTTATCTTCAGCTACTCGGGTCAGGCTCACTGTTTCAACGTTTTATCAAGATCAACTATTACCTAGGCTTCAAGACATTGAATTCAACAATGACGTCAAGGTTTTTTCCGCACACAACTACCAAGGCTGCAATTTACAAGATAAGAGTTACAACTTGGATCAGGCTGCTCATGATCCCAAGGTCTCAACAGCGGGAACTCAGCACATCGCTCAGGAGATCAGAGCCCGAGCTTTCGGGATATTATTTAAGGAGGTGGTGCTCA